TAGGACTGTTCCTTTGATATAGTCTCTTTTACTACAAACTAGGGTACTTCAAAAAGTTTGTGGGAAATAGAATTAAAAGATAATACAAAAATGGGCTGGCCAGTTAGCTCACTTGAAAGAGCATGGTGCTGATAACACCAGGGTCAAGGGTTTGGATCCCCATACTAGCAACCCACCAAAACCAAACCAAAACAAAAATGTGTAAACTGCTAAAGAAAGAACAGAATTCATAAAAATAGGAAATTATGGAAAAAAGATAATACAAATCTTTCCATGAACTTTTTGCACATAGTATCTTCACGATGTTCTACAACCATCACCACCATCTAGTTCTATAAAAATGTTTATCATCCCCCAAAAAACCCTATACTCGTTAAGCAGTCACTCCCATTCTCTACCCTTGCCAGCTCCTGGCAACCACTAATCTGTGTTGTCTCTAGGGACTTGCTTATTCTGGAGATTTTATATAAATAGAATCATAGAATATGTGGCCTTTTGGTCTGGCTTATTTCACTTAATAATTTCAAGTTTCATCCACATTGTAGCATGTATCAATACCTCATTCTTTCTTATGGCTGAATAATATTCCAAAGTATGAACACATCACATTTTGTTTACCCATTTATCCACTGACAGACATTTGGGTTGTTCCCACCTTTTGGCTACTGCAAATAGTGCTGCTAGGAATAATAGGGGTTTTCAAAAAGTTCATGGAAAGATCTGCATTATCTTTTAATCCCATTTTTCCATGAACTTTTTGAAGTACCCTTATATTCTTTTGTAAGTTTTCGTTTAAACATGTTTCTAATTCTTTTGGGTATGCACTTAGAAGTGGAACTGCTGGGTCACATGGTAACTCTATATTTAACTTTTTGAGGAACTGCCAAACTATTTTCCACAGTGGCTGCACCATTTTACATTCTACCAGCAAAGTATGGTGGTTCCAGTTTCTTCCTTCACATTCTCATGAACATTATTCTCCTTTCTTTCTTTTTTTTTTTTAAAGATGACCAGTAAGGTCATCTTGACTTGGTGTTGTCAGTACCACGCTCTCTCAAGGGAGCTAACCAGCCATCCCTATATAGGAATCTGAACCTGTGGCAATGGTGTTATCTGCACCACACTCTCCCAAGTGAGCCACTGGCTGGCCTTATCTTTCTTTCTTTTTTTTGATTACAGCTGTCCTAGGGAGTGTGAAGTGGTGTCTCATTATGGTTTTGATTTGTATTTCCCTAATGACTAATGAATTCAGCATCTTTTCATGTGCTTGTTGGTCATTTGTACATATACCTTCATTACAGAATTGTCTATTCAAGTCCTTTGCCCTTTGTTTAACTGGGTTGTCTTTTTGTTGAATTATGAGTTCTTCATATATTCTGGATATAAGACTCTTATCAGATATATGATTTACAAATATTTTCCCCCATTCTTCGTTTTTTCACTATCTTAACAGTGTTTTTTGATGTCCAAAAGTATTTAATTTTAATGAAGTTCAAGTCCAATTTATCTTTTTTTTTCTTTTATTTGTGCTTTTGGTGTCATATATAAGAAACCATTGCTAAATCCAAGATAATAAGGATTTCCCCTTATGTTTTCTACTAAGAATTTTCTAGTTTTAGCTAGATGTTGTTCAGGATTTTGGCATCTATATTTGTAAAGGATATAGCAGTCTGCATTTTTTTTTCTTGTGATGTCTTTGTTTACCTTTGGTATCAGGGTAACACTGGCCTCATAGAATGAGTTAAAAAGTGTTCCCTTTTCTTTATTTTTTGGAATTGTTTGAGAAAGACTGGTGTTAATTCTTCAAATGTTTGTTGGAATTCACCCGTGAAGCATCTGGTCCTGGGTTTTTCTTTGTTATGAAGTTTTTGATTACTGATTCAATATCTTTACTTGTTACAGATCTATTCAGATTTTCTGTTTCTTCTTGAGTCAGTTTGGCAGCTTTTTGTGTTTCTGCCCATTTCATTTAGGTTATCTAATTTGTTGGTGTATAACTATTCGAGTATTCTCTTAGAATTCCTTTTATTTTTGTAAGGTTGGTAGTAATGTCCCACTTTTTCTGATTTTACTAGTTGAAGATTCTCTTTTTTTCTTGGTCTGTTTAGCTACAGTCTTGTCAATTTTGTTGATCTTTTCAAAGCAACTTTTGGCTTTATTGATTTTTCTCTTCTGTTTTCTTGTCTCTATTTTGTTTATCTCCTCTCTAATATTAATTATTTCTTTCCCTCTGCCAGCTTTGGGTTTAGTTTGCTCTTTTTATTTTTTAAGTTCCTTAGGGTGTAAAATTAGGTTACTGATTTGAGGTTACTTTTTTCTTCTTTAATGTAGGTGTTCATAGTTAACAGATTTCCCTTCGAGCACTGCTTCTGCTGAATCCCATAAATTTTGTATGTTGTGTTTTGTTCTTATTCATCACAAAGTATTTTCTAATTTCCCTTGTGATTTCTTCTTTGACCCACTGGTTGTTTAAAAGTACAATATTTAATTTCCACATATTTGTAGATTTTCCAGCATTTTCTGTTATTGATTTCTAGTTTCATTCTGCTGTGGTCTAAGAGGATACTTTGTATGATTTCAATTTTTAAAAATTTATTGAGATTTGTATTGAGGCCTAACATATATTTTATTATCCAGAAGGTTCTATGTGCACTTGAGAAGAATGTGTATTGTGTCAATGTTAGGAGTGTTTGGAGTGTTTTGTGTATATTTGTTAAGTCTAGTTGTTTTATAATGTTCAAATTCTCTATTTCCTTATTGGCCTTCTATCTTGTTATTCTCTAGCAGTTTTTTTTTTATAAGTATGATATCACCTGAAATAAAACTACTCCTAAGATGACATAGGCTTTGACTAGGATCAGACAAGGATTTCACTAATGTACCTTTACCACCAACATGCAGACCCAGTCTGTGGTTGGCATTACTTTAGTATAGTGACAAGAGTCATTCCTGGGATGTAAATGGCTTTTTCCTCTGCCTAAATTGCATAGTTCCCATTCAGCTGGTGTCATTATTTGTAGCTTGGCAATTCTAGATTTCAAGTTAATAAAGATGACTGTACTAAAATGTGTATCTATTGTAGTTTGTCCCTCAGAATTCCTTCTTTTCTTTCCTGCTGTGAGAGTATATGATACTCACTATTCTTCCTTAGTTTAAAATTCTTGTTTTACTGATATCTTCTGTTTTTCTTTTTAAAAATCCTATCTATATTGCTTAGCTTTTGGTCTAAGAGATTCAGCTTTAATAGCCAATCAGAATTGCTGTTTACTTTTGGTTGGTGAACTAAGCTGATGAATTCTAAATTTAGCTCCCAGCTACTGCTATAATGATGTTGTGAATCAACCTCCAAATCTTAGTGGCTTACAAAAATAGGCATACATTTCTTGCTAATAGGCCTATGGAAAGCTCTCTTTCATAATGATGGGTACTATCTGTCCCATGTATTTCTCATTCTGGGACTAGTAGCTATCTAAGACACGCTTACCTCATAGCAGATGACAGAGCACAGGAGATCAAGTCAAACCAGGTAAACATTTAAAGCTTTTGCTCTTGTCACACCTGCTAACATTACACTGGCCTAAACAAGTCACAAACCTAAGCCTGATGGGATGGAAAAATCTCCTCCTTCCATGGAGGGGGAAAGGAGAGTAAATACTTGCTGAACAATAATACCGTCAATCACAATCTAGCAAAATGAGACACTTAGGAGCAATGTAGTGAGTTTTGCAAAAGGCTAAATTTATTTAAATTGAAGGACTTACTCTAAAGGCAAGCCCTTTCTACTTTTAGAGCAATAATGTCCTCTCCTCTATAAAATAATGACAATAGTAGAAAGCAAAAGATTTTGAAAATTCTTATTCCTTGACTACATAAAAAGCTGGCAACCCTATGTCAGTTCCCAATATTTCTGGAGAATTTTACTAGTCTATGAGAAAATCCTAAAGTCTACTACAAGAAAAAAAAAATCATAGACTACTGAGTACAATGCTCTGTCTCTTTGGGTGCTGCTCACTGTTCAGAGGCATTGCTTGGCTTGGAAAGACACTCACTTTTCCCCTTTTCCAGTTTTCATTATAATAAATGCTTATGATGAGGAGTCTCTTTTAGATAAGTGAAATGCCATTATTTATTTCTAGTGATCTAATTTTTATCTTAAAAATGGTCCCATTTACTCTTCAAGTCTCTACAGAAACTTGGTTTTGTAATACTTAGGGCCCTAGAATCTCAATGTCACGTAAATCATTCATGTCCCTGACATGAATTTTTTAACAGGCAGTACATAAAAAATAATGTATGACTCTATAACTTTAAGAAGATGAGCTATATTAAGAAGATTAAAATTTTAAAAAGTAGCTAGCAGCTTTACATCCAATGTGAAGTGATACATATTTTATATGTATATAAGTATTAATACTAATGATTTTAATGTAGCTTTATCAAACATTGAAACTATGCAAAACAGAAGAGCAGCATTTTTTTTCCCTGCTCACAACACTGTTAAAGCAAATGCAGAAATTAACACCCCTCTAATGACCGATTCACTGATTTCACTCTTGACTCCTCAGCTTATTTCTACCTCCTACTCTTGGTTTTCATCTTTTTCTTTACTTGTGATACTTGCTAGCTTGAGGCATTATTAAAATGTTATATCTACCTCATCCACTCTAAACTAGGGAACGGGGTGGGAGAACATGATACTGAAATGTATTGTATCTATAGAAAATCTTATACAGAGACCTCTGAATTTGTCAAAACACTAAATTTTCCATGAGTCTTCCATAGTAAGATTCACAGTTCATTATTAAACACTAACTTGTCATATAGGATCTGTGATGTAACTTCACAATATGGCAATTACCTTTTGTTATCCTACTGATCTTACTCAATATTAGAGAATTTGATCCAATACATATTTAAATTTCAAAAATGTGCAAATCTAAAATAAGAGGTGGAGAGTGACACTTGAATGAGCAAGGGAAGTTTCCATTAACTCAACTCACTGGTTTTGAAACTCAGGTTTGTGCCATACCTACAATTTAAATAAAGTATTTAATTTTAGTACTTTTACTACTTCTACAACATTTTGTAGAGTTTTTCCTCTAAATTTAAGAATATAATTCTCATTAAAATAAAGTGAAAATTCAAAGATGTGGCTGTAACATAAGCAACATACCTGCAGGTATGATCATCACTCACACTTGCAATTTCTTGGCCTTCTTTGGGATCAAACACCAAACCATTAATGAAATCTGAATGACCCTCTAAAACCTGATAAAAAGGGAAAAATTAAGAAACAGGAAAATAATCTACAATACTCCTACCTAATATTTTTACTTCACTGCTTTAAAAGCTTTCACTGTATGCTTCTCTTTTCTATAAATATTTCTTTAGTAATTTATTTTTAAAGCATGATTTATACACCCACGTTTCTGGAAGGTTTATCTTGGAAAGAAGCTGATCATTCAACACATTATTAGTGGCTTAGTCTCTCTTTTCTATGCATTTCTTACAAAAACACACACATTTTTACTGTACGTGTCCTCATATCACTTTCTTTTTCATTTATTACATAAAGCTTAAATAAAAATTAAAGCAAGGAAAACTTCTTAGGGATACTGAGATATAGTCTCTTTGGGCTTTTCACTTTATACCTGACGCACATACACTACTACCTAACACACACACATAAGCCTGTCAGATATTTACATATTTTAATTCATATTTTATTTGCATATGTATGTAAATACTACATACATATGTATGTAAATACATATTTAATATACGCCCTTTTAATAAAATAAAATATGTAAACACATATTTAATACATATAATTTTAATAAAATTAAAATATGTTAATATGACAGGCCTATGTGTGTTTGTTAGGTAGTTAGTTCTTCCTCCCTCCCTCCCTTGCAAAAACTCAAATTTGACCTCAGATCTAAGGTTAATCAAACAGTCCTAAATGGCACAGCTTAATACGTAGAAATGTAACATGAAGAAAAAAGTATCTGGCTCAAAGATTCCAGTGTAACTTTAACATATCCAGGTCCTCCAAGTCATTCTCCAAAACTTCTGTCATGGTCTACAAGACAAACTAAATTAACATTAAATGTTTAATGTCTCTTATAACTAGCATATTAACTTTTTTTTTTTTTTTTGTCTTTTTCGTGACCTGTAAGGGGATCGCAACCTTTGGCTTGGTGTCGCCCGCACCACACTCAGCCAGTGAGCGCACCGGTCAGTCCTATATAGGATCCGAACCCGTGGTGGAAGCACCGCTGTGCTCCCAGTGCCACTGTGCTCCCAGTGCCGCACTCTCCCGAGTGCGCCATGGGGCCGGCCCAGCATATTAACTTTTAATAGGTCAAAATTTTATGTGCCATTTATACACTTGGTTATTCATGGTACAGCCTTAAATTAACCAATATATACAGTGCATTAAGCCCACTGTCTATAGCTTGGAGCATAATTTTCACTATTTTCTAAACGACTGGAAAGGTTTATAGTTTATCTTTGTTTCACAACATTGTTCATATTTTTGATTTACTAGAGAGTCAAGAAGGCAATATCATTTTTATAAGAAAACATGATGCAATTTCAACTCAACCTGAGGGCTATTTATTACACACAGGGCTTGCTCTGGACCAAGCATTGTTCTAGTATTTTTTATGAATTAGCTCAGTCAATGCTAATAATCCTATGAGGTAGATGCTATGATTATCTCCATTTTATAGATAACAAAATGAGTACAAAGAGATTAGGTTACTTGGCCAAGGTCACTCCATTACTAAGCGATAGAGCTGGGCTTTAAATACAGGGGGTCTGGCTCCTGTGTCTGTGCTCTTAATCACTTTGTAATCCTGCCTGTGTTATGCTGTACCGATCATTTGTTTCCTCAACTCTTACTCCATGTGTGCTCATGACTATTATACTCTTACTACATTCAACTGTGAATTTCTGATTCTCCTATTTGCTGTTCCTAGTATTTTAATTTAATAAGTGATATCAGATTTATAATCTGCAGTCACTACTAAAAACCTAGTTACTATAGCCTACAAAAGGGTAAATGATACCCTAAATTAATTTCTTAAATTTGACCACAAAAAGTCATATAAAATTGTAATAAATACAAATAAAAAGGCAAAAAGTAATAAATACATGTTTTAATATAAAATCTAAAGATTTATGATTTACACTTGTCAACATACCTTATATTCATTTTTATCTTGAAGATCTGAAGTAAATAATCTAATTTTCATATCAGCAGCTGAAGTACAAAATCTGGAAGCAAAAAACAAAAACAAGCCCATTTATAGCTTCTGTAAGTGGAAGTGCCCCCCTGATCTCTGTCCCTCCCTCCAAGTCACCAAAGCTTTTATCATAACTCATAATCATACTTTTATTGGAGGAGAAAAGGAGAATGTTGTGGCACTTCTGCAAAAAATATTATATAGTCATTACTGAAAGTAAGAGGCATATTAAATATTTTGAGAATACACAAAATGTTAGTATATTACAGACCTGTCTCTTCAATAATAGAAGTGTAGAATTTTATACTAGCAGCACGTTAATTTAATATTAAATGTTTTCTTAAAAGCATAAAGTGATAGATTTAAAAAAGTATATTCATTTTAGCCAGGACAACATGAGGTATTAAAAATGTTGTCATACATCTACCTTAGTCTTTGTCTTGTTCAGTTATCCATAACCCTTCTTACTTTTTCTATTCCTCCAGATAAATGAGATGAAATATGATACTCTTTTTATGTCTGTAAAAGCTGGTATATTTATACATGCTAAAAGCTAGAGTGTTACTTGCGCTGACTTTAAACATTCAAGACACGTTTTTCAGTAGTTCATTAACAGACATTAAATTTTTTAAAAATCCAAGTAGCAAACAACTATTTTTTAACTAGTTCACCTTAAAGGTGATTAAAACCTAAAATTTCTAGATTCTCAGCATGCTAAATAATGACTGAGGAAGAAATAGACATATTTATATATTGAAAAACAAAGTTTATTTCCATTACTTCTTTGGCAAGAAAAGTGTCACATGGATCTAAATCTCTTCTTTAGTTCTCAACTAAAGTTAACCATTTTTTCTCAAGTAATAAATGTAAGGACCTCGGTAAAGCAAGGCTATTAATCTGTAGACTCGGATGTGCTGGTAGGTCTCTGCTACGACATCCCTTTCCAGTGATCTGTCAAGAACCATGAGAGGAAACAGATCAAAGCCAACAGGGAAATTCCCTTTCTGTCCAAGGTTTTCTCAGAGGTGAAATTAAAAGTTGTAGTGAAAAAAAGTAGTTTTTCTTCCTCCTATAATTGGGATTATGATGTTTTAAAGTGGGGAAGTATATATCTTTGTTTGTGTGTGTGGTGAGGTGGGGGAAGAGGGTGAGAGAAAGAGGGAGGGAGAGAGAGGGAGAGAGAGGGAGAGAGAGAGAGAGAGAGAGAGAGAGAGAGAGAATCAGTCTTAGGAAATATCTACATTTCCTGTGCAATTTAGACACAGATTTCCAGTTGTTAATTTTAATAATTTCATTACATACTTTACAAATATAAGCCAAATTTTAATGAAAGCAATTTTTTAGAGAGATTTTAAAATATATATATATTCATATATTCAGGATTTCTTTAATTTCTCTTTTTTATATCTTTAGTTTCTTTTGTGATTGCCACATATTAACTTTTTTTTTTACTGTGGTCAAAAACACATAAGAAAATTTACCATCTTAACCATTTGTAAGTAGAACATAGAGTAGTGTTAACTATATGCACATTGTTGTGCAACAGATTTTTAGAACTTTTTAATCTTGCAAAACTGAAAAACACTATATCCACTGAACTACTCCTCTGTCTACCCTCCTCCCAGTCCCTGGAAACTGCTATTCTAACTTCCATTTTATAAGTTTTATTATTTCAGATAACTCATAAGTAGAATAAAGCAATAATTGTCTTTTTGTGACTAGCTTATTTCATTTAGCATGACATCCTCAAGGATCATCCATGTTGCAGCATATAATAGGATTTCCTTCTTTTTTAAAGGCTGAATATTATTCCATCACATGTATACACCATTACTTTCTTTTGAGGCACTCGTCCTTACCTGGCCGTGTTCTGCCTGGCTGTGGCCGTTAGGCACCCATGCTGGGCTACACTATGCTGTAACCAAGACCCCTACCCAGATATCATACAGACCCAGATGCAGCTGCACCCCTGCCTTGTCTCACACTGCGGTTGCCACAGACTGCTATAACAGAATTTTCCCTTCTGCTTCTCCCTTGCTGTAATTTTTCATCCTGAGACAGAGTCATAACCACATAAGATCATAAGATCACCCCTCTTGCCCTGTTGCAAAAACCCGGAAATGCTATGATATAAAAATAACAGCCTCGCTGTGTTTGGGGCTCAGCCTTTGCAACTAGAGTCCGCTGAGCTGCTGCCGGCATCAATAAACTCTGTTCCTTGGTGTTTCCTGCCTCTCCCTGTGACTTCACAGTAACACTGCAACACTTTATCTATTCACTGGTTGATGTTCATTTAGCTTGCTTCTACCTCTTGGCTACTGTGAATAATGCTACAATGAATATGGCAGTGCAAATATCTCTTCCAGATCCTGATTTCAATTCTTTTGGTACTAAGAAATGGGACTGCTGGATCATATGGTAATTCTTCAGATCACTAAAAACAACCAAAGGACATTGATAACTATTGCACTTGATACTTTAAAACTTACTTGATTACTGGAGGCAATGAATCAAGTCTAGTCTCTGGGCTCCAAGCTATGCCATCGACCCTGACTCCATGGTGAAATGTTCGCAGTGTTTTATACCGAATTCCTTCAATGTCTGCCTCTTCCTCCTAAGCATACAGAGTAAATGTTTTAATAAATATGAGAACAAACTATGTAATACCCTATATTTCATTGAATTTTTCAGAAGGCCATGCATATTAGCTGGAAATTTGAGATTTAAATAGTTCACTGAATTAAAAAAAAATTCAAAACTGTTTAAGTCTCACAGAATACCTCTCGAAGGCAGCTAACAACAAACGGTAAACATGTTATACTTTATTTTAGGAGACATTTTACCCTTACTAGTAAACACATTTCATTACAAATTCAATGAAAATAGAATGCTCTAAGAATCAGAATATTCTAGGTACATGAATTACCATACATGGATTATCAACTGAAAATATAAAAAAAAAAATACAATGAACTTAAAGTTCTGATTATATGGAAGATACTTTGGGACCTTATGATGTCTCAAAGTCATTACAATGAGTGTTAATGATTTTCATGTAGTAATGACACTATTTATATATATTACAAATAATTCATCTATAATATTATAGTCTATGAATAGTGAATATGCAAATAATAATATAGTTATTTTAGTCTTAGTTATTTGATTCTGGGTATAAATGTTTAATAAAGTCAGCTCATTTACCGGGTTCTGTCTTGCCAAAATGATTTCAGCTTATTCTCATGGGAAGGTGAGGAAAAAAATAAATTTTAAATGTCAAGCCATCTATCTCTGGCAATATGGACACAAATCTGAAAAGCTCTCCCGCTACAATAATAATGCAAAAATCCAAATCCAGAGAAGGAACTGAGTAGTAAGGTATGCTGGTGTTAAAAGGGCACTTGCCCACATCTAGTAACTTAAAGCCTCAGTTTGCAAGAGACAGGAGACAAAACTTAGGGTCTGTACAAGGGAGGATGCCAGATCAGAAATCTTTGCATAGATCCAGTGTCCTTAAGGGGAGAAATAGAAAAAAACTAAAAAAGAAAACACTGCTGTGCAAAGTACCTACCATAGGTGAAGGCCAAGAAAAAGAAAAAGGAACTTGTGAGAAATCTCAACGATTAGCTGGCTCTAGCATGACTATGGGGAGAGAATTCACATTAACAATGTGGTCCAGAAAATAACAAAGAACTTATTCCAAAGTTGTTATATGTTGGTAGTGACCCCAAGTACTTGACAGAAACAAAGGCAAATTCTCTCTGGATAAACTACTTCTACCCACGTCTCAAAAAGTTCCCAAAGATATAGTTCAATCAAATATGATCTTATATACATGCATTCTCAGATATGAAAACTAAAACATATGAACAAAAACAACAAAACTGCAGAATAAAACCTGCAAAGATATCTTATAAAAATTATCAGATCCAAGAAAGATGTATGTTTAGGGAAATAAAAGAGGTAAATAAAAATCAGTAAGCAACAAGAGATTACCAGAAACGGCCAGGCAGATTTATAATCTATAACAACACGGTACAGGCATAAAAATAGACATATAGACCAATGGAACAGGATAAAGACTCCAGAAATAAACGCACACATTTATGAACAACTGATTTTTGATAAAAGTGCCAAGAACACACAATGGGGAAAGGACAGTCTGTTTAATGTATGATGCTGGGAAAACTGGATATCTATAAGTAGAAGAATGAAATTACACCCTTATATAAAAACCCACTCAAAACAAATGAAAGACTTAAATGTATGACCTGAAACTGTAAATCCACTACAAAAAAGCAGGGAAAAAGCTCTAAGACATTAGTCTGGGCAATGATTTCTTGGAATAAGGACCCCAAAGCATAGACAACAAAAGCAAAAATAAACAAATGGGATTGCATCAAAACTAAAAAGCTTCTGCAGAGCAAAAAAGAAAACATTAACAGAGTGAAGAGACAAACCACAAAGTGGGAGAAAATATTTGCAAGTCATATAGCTGATAATGGGCTAATATGCAAAACATATAAGGAAATCAAACAACTCAACAGTAGGAAAACAAATAACCTAATTAAAGAATGGGCAAAGGATCTAAACAGACATTTTTCAGAAGAAATACAAATGGCCAAGAGGTAAATGAAAAAATGCTCAACTCACTAATCATCAGGGAAATGCAAAATAGAACAATAATGAGATATCACCTCACACCTTTTAGAATGGCTATCAAAAAAATGAAATATAACAAGGATGTGGAGAAAAGGGAACACTGTACACTGTTGGTGGAAATGTAAATTAGTAGAGCTATTATGGAAACAGTATGGAGGTTCCTCAAAAAACTAAAAATACAATTACCACATGATTCAGCAATCCCACTACTGGATATATATCCAAAGGAATTGAAATCAGTATGTAGAAGAGATATCTACACTCCCATGTTCACTGCAGCATTATTCACAATAGCCAAGATATGAAACCAACCTAAGTGTCCATCAATGGCATATTATTCTGCCTTAATAAAGAAGGAAATCTAATCATTTGTGACAACATGGATGAAACTGGAAGATATTATGCCAAGTGAAATAGGCAAGGCACAGAAATAGTACAAATAGTACATAATCTTGCTTATATGTGGAATCTAATAAAATCAAACTCATACAAGTAGAGTAGAATGGGGTGGGGGTGGGGTACAGGGAATGGGGAGATGTTGATCAAAGGGTATAAAGTTTAAGTTAGGGGGAATAAATTTTTGAGATTTATTGCACAGTATGGTGACTATAGTTAGTAATGTATTTATATTTTGAAATTCCTAAGAAAGTGAATTTCAAATATCTCACTACAAAAAGTGAGGTTGACAGATATGTTAACTAGCTTGATCTAACCATTCCGCACTGTACTTATAAACCAAAAACATCACACTGTGCCAAATAAGTATATACAATTATTTGTCTATTACAAATAAAAGTTAATAATAAAAAAGAACTAAATAAAACTTTTAAATATACCATAATTGAAATTTTAAAAAAATCAATCTTTACATGTAGCTGGAAGATAGACTTGAAAAAATTAACTCAGAATGTAGAAAAACACAGACAAAAAGAGAGGTTAAAAGACAGAGGATTCAGTGAGAAGTTCCACCTTGTATGTGACTGGGTTGTGGAAGGAGGAATAGAAAGAACTGGACAAGAAGTATTTGAAGAGATAATGGCAAAGGACTCTCCATACTTGACAACATGCATCAATAGTCATACTGGGCTAGCTGGTTAGCTCAGTTGGTTAGAGCTCAGTGTTACAGGTTCAGATCCTGGCACTGGCCAGCCGCCAAACAGAACAAAACAAAGCAAAACAAGCTATATTTGGAAAGAACAATAAATCCCAGGCAGCTTAAATAAGAAGAAATCTATAGCTAGAGACAATGTAGTGGAACTTCAGAAAACACACACACACACACACACACACACACACACACACACACACACACACACACAGATTGATCTTAGCAACTGCAGCTAGAAAGAAAAGACAAGTCTTCTATAAAAGAGTAATAATTAGATCAAAAACCAACTTCTCACCAGAAACAACAAAGGCAGGAAGACAGTGGAATAATATTTTCAAAATGCTGAGAGAAAATACCCATGGAATTGTAGACATAATAAAACTGATTTTCTAGAATGAGGATGTATTAAACATACTTTCAGAAAAACAAAAACCAAGAGGTAGAATCAATAAATTTTCACTAAAAAAATTCACTAAAAAATTTTTTTTCAAGCCTATGGCTTGTGGGCCAAAGCTGGCCTATGGCCTGGTTTTGTATGGTCCATGGGCTGAGAATCATTTTTACAATTTTAAGGAGTTGTAAAAAACAAAACAAACAAAAAACAAAGAATAATATGCAATGGAGACCTTAAGTGCTTGGCAAAGCCTAAAATATTTAATATCCAGTCCTTTAAAGAAAGTCTGCCAACTCCTGTAGTAAACGATGTGCTTTTGGATGAAGAAAAATGATCCTAAATCTGGTCTCAGAAATAAGGAATGGTGAGTAAAAAAACCAAAGGCAAACAGGTGGGTAAATGTAAATAAACATTAGCCACATAAAACAGTATTTAATTTTTGGGTTAAAACAAAAAGAAAAATGAGAGAGAACTAAAATGGTGGACAACAATAAGTCTGGAGGGGTAATAATAGTTCAAATGTTAAAGGTCTGTCTTCCTCGTGAAGAAGGTAAAGATATTAATTTTGACTTTGTCTAATTAAGTATGCATGTTCGAATGCCTTTGGCAACCATTAAAAAAAAGAGCAATAGCATATAAAGCTTCTAAACTATCAGGGAGGAAAAAAATGAAAGGAGGGGTACAAAAACACAAACAGAAAACATGGTAAGAAAAAGCATATTGGCAATGCTTTCAATAGTAAAAATCTAAAGGTAACCTAAATATCCAACAGAGCAGAAACAGATAAATAAATTGTGGTATATTCATATTATAAAACACCAGCAGTAAAAATAAATAAACTTTGACATGGAAGAATCTAACAACTATGTTAAGCAATAGCAACAAAAAATAGAAAAACATAAGAGTATTACTGGTATAAAGTGAAAAACAGCATAGTGATTTGGAATACCTACACGTATAGTAACACTTATAAAGAAAAGCAAGAAATAAACAACACAAAATTTCAGACATGTTTACTTCTTGGGGATGAGATGGTAAGGCAGTAAGGAAAGGCTAGCCAGGGGGCTTCAAAAGCATTGCCAATGTTCCATTTCTTAAGTTAGGTAGCAGGTACACAGGGATCTATTTTATTCTTCTCTATACCTTACATAGATAATACACATTTTTAAAAGCCTAAATAATACAATTTAAAAAATAAATAAATCATTGTCCTCTTATTTAAATCACTACGTGAACTGGGTCTACAGACTACAGCCAACATTTTCATGACAAGTTTGTCCAAAGAATCTTCTGTATTAAGTAACTATAGTTATCTTTTATAAAAGCTTGTGGGATTATAAAATATCATTAGGGAAACAATCCAGAGCAGGTGAAACTAGACATTTAATGGAATACATATGTCTAGATAGATAGGAATTACCTGAAGGTCTGTTTTAAAAATTCCATTTACCCTGAATCTAAATGCAAAGTTTTTATAACATGTACTCTAATCGAATCCAAATAGATGCGTTGATTTTTCCAGGACAGCCTTTGGGATCCTAGCAAAGTCATTTCACAGATATACTACACATGTGTTTCTGTACATAATTCAGATACCCTTTGAAAATAACTTTAAATTTCAGATGAATTTAAGGGTTAACAGCAAAAAGTTTTTCCATAAATGAAAGAAACAGAAATACACGTATAAAGAAAACATCATCAAATTTTATTACTTAATAATCTGTATGTATAACAGCTGCATAGCTAAAAGCCAATTATGCCAAGGTAGTGATCAGTAAGCAAATCAAAAATAACTTTAGAAGCCTAATCATAGCTGAATTCATAGTTTGAGTTACACCTATCTTTTCCACACTTGACAAATCAATCTTCAAAAATAAAGTTTTCACATGAAAATGAACATTATTTTGCTACTGTAACAACAGTGCTACCCAAATTATACATGGAATTATTGGGTGGTCATAGGGATAAAGAAATCCAAGGGGCTGTACAGCCTGAGCTTTATGTATTACCAGTGAAATCCTTTTTTCCTGGCAGCACCATCTGCCACTGAGCCAACTAAAAGGCCAGAGTGTGTGTGTGGTAGGCAGAGACAAATACTATTTTGGGTTTCGTTTGAGCTGTAGGCAGTATTGTATAGGCAGGAAATTAAGGTACTTTGGAAAACTCACTATATAATACAAATGATTATACAAAACTCCTGCAAAGTTGAGGTTGGGGCAAAGCCAGACTGACAGAAGGGCTATTCTAAGTGTTTGAAACTGGCAGGCCCTCCTACACACCCATTTAAGGCCAAATATAGAATTTCAGTTAGACAAGACTTAAGTTTATCTAGTCCAATTCTTTCATATAATGCTTGAATTTCTAGTAGAACATCTAAAAGAGGTTTGCGCAATCCCACTCTGAACAGTTCCAGTGAGAGGGAACTAGCTACCTCTTCAAAAACCTTATTCAATTGGAGTATAGCTCTAATTATTAGAAGAGTTCTCCTTAACATTAAGCCAAAATCTGTTTCCAAGTAAGTTCTGCTCATTTCTCCAAGTTCTATTCCTGGAACTCTATAGAGTTAAATCTAATTTAGTGATGGCAAGTATCTGGCCATAGCTGATCTCCCCTAGGTGAACACACTCAAATGAGGATAATCTTTAGAATCAGTCTTAAAGCACTACAAGCAACAACTCTAACCAAACATAGAGGTGATAAATTACATAAAATCTGTTTACTATTCTAATACCTCTACCACATGACACTTTTAAACATTTAAAACTACCCTGAAATTTGTCTTTAAGTACATTATCTACTTTGAATCATACTACACTGCTGAGAACTAAAAATTATTATTATTATTGTGTATTAAAGATTTCAGTCAATTTACAGAGGAAGATATAGAGAGAACTGTACTGTATAATCCAGTAGCCATTAGCCAAGTGGGGCCTTATTAAGCACTTAAAATGTGGCTAGCGCAATCCGATATGTGTACACTTTATAAAGCACAAAATACACAACAGATTTAAAAGACTATGAAAAAAAATAAAACATGTCAGTAACTTATTACAGTGATTACATGTGAAATATTTTGGATATGCTAGATAAAAAAATATGGTCTTAAAATGAATTTCACCTGTTTTTTACTTTTTATGCGGCTACTACATTTAAACTTATATTTGTGGCTCACATTATAGTTCTATTAGACTGCACGGAATTAGCTCCTTTTGGCAGTTTAATCATTGCACTGACTCATGGAGCACATTCAGGTGACTAAAAACCCTAGGTCATAATTCTCCTTTTGGTTTACCAGTCTACCTTTTAAGACTTTATATTCATCTTTATTAAATTTTAGCTTGTTCAACTTGGCCCATTAATCCAATCTATTACACAATATTTGGATTCTGAGCACAGAGCTTGGCATACAACAGGTGCTTAATAAATACTTGTTAAATGACGTCTGTTATCCAAAGCACTAGGGTATCCTCAGCTTCATCTTCCACGTAAATAAAATGTGCTTGCCTAAATCAATATTCTCATCCAAGTCCTGATAGAGGCCTCAATTCATTAATGAAGACCCTTTGAACAGACTTAGACACTTTCACGCTCCTTCCGCTCTTTACACATAGGGCTCTTATAGCATTTTTCTTATTGCACTGTTTTATATTTAAATGTCTCCTTGAGGGACAGGTCCTTGCTTTTTTAACTTCCCAGCACTAATATGGACTTAATCAATATTTGGTAAATACATGACACCAGTTAAGAGTACTATCATTCAGCTTATATTTTCATTACATTAGAAAGAACAGCACGAGATTCTGAAAAATGTTTTGTTGAAATTCAAATTCACTATATCTACAGTGTTTTCCTAATAGTCTTAACACAAGGATTGCCTTTCTGATGGGAATGCAAAAATCTTTCAATTTGATTTATCTTTGCTTAGTTTTCTCTCAAGACAAGAGGCATGAAATTGGGTGCTATGGAACTTCGAGGTTCTAGGATAAGAGAATAGGAATTATGTTTCATAATATTTACTTAGATAAAAAATAACTTCCAAGAGAAGCAACAATTTATTTTGAATCCCCAAGGGCAAACCACTGGAACTCAATTCTCCTTCAGAACCATTTGAATCACAGCTTCAACCTATCTGAATAGAAGCATAAAGAAATAAAACAAGAGATTAAGAATGGGGTTTAGATCTTACTTTTTCATTTAGTAGTCATGCAAATTCCTGAACTTCTTTGAAGTAGAATGGAAATTCCACGAGGATAGGAACAGTCTTAATTAACTGTATGAGCGTACTTCAAAAAGTCATGAAAAAGTAAAATTAAAAGATTATACATTGTCAATCTCACAGTTCTCAGGCTCAACCAAGACAATCCATGTGACCATAACCCATAATGAAACAATACAAATACAAATGTTTTTACTTTCTTTTCCTCATTTTTTCATTTTCCTTTCCTCTCCCCTTTTCTGTCACCCATTGTCTCTGACTTTTTTCCTGATTTATTCTCCCCTCCTGACTTTCTCCCTCAACATTTCTGAATTTTTTGTAAACTGCAGATAAACGTTATTTTTTTATTGTTTTAAAATATAATCCTATGTTCATAGCTATTAATTTTAAATGTAATGAAGTAAAAAGTTAGTTTCACCTGTAGCGGGCTGCTTTATTCTTCTGTAGGTTATTAGCCTGTATCAGAGAAATGGTTTCTCTTCAGTATTTTTCAAGTGTATGCTACCTTATTTGTTTGAATCATATGACTTTTTATGATCCAAATCCAGTAGTCCAGTTGAAGTGATGCTGGGTGATATGTAGCCTAAAAGCTAGAAATTCGTACCCCCACCTGGATAGACAATGGGAGACAGCCTAAGAGCTCTCATATTCTACTAAGACATCAATAAAACTGAAAATTTCAATTCATACTTTCCTTTAGGACAAATATGAATGCACCCAATTTTGCAAAACTTTACACATTTATTGTACTTTAAAATAAACTGCAAGATGTCAAAACACTGTTAAGATGTAGAACTGCTTCCTGAGTAAAATGGGAAATAATGTTTATAATAATATATCACTTTAGTAATAAAGTTATTTCAACTTTTTGAAAATTGGTCATTGCCAAATTACATTAATTCCATTAACTAATTTTAATTTGAGAAATACAGTTCTATGAATAATATTCTGGATTATGTATGAATAACAATGTGCCTGATGCCTCCTAGGAACTTTACACATACTAACTCATTACTTTCTCACAAAATCCTATTGAGCACCATATTCCTCATTTTTATAGAAGAGAGGTTAAGTACCTCAAGGTCACATAGCCATTAAGAGTTAAAGCGAAGCAGGAGTAAAACCACTAGGCATTTTGGCTCTAGAATTCATGCTCTTAACGGCTATGCTGAACTGCCTCCTCAATTAATACGATCCCATACTTTGTATACTCCAAATGTATGCTTTAGATGTATAAGAAGTACGTCAGCACATTAATAGGAAAGCTGAATATCATGAAAGCTACAAAAGCTCCTGGAGGATCATTTTTTAGGATCTCAGTATTAGCTTGTTTCCTATGTCAAAGAAGAATGGAGAAAAACTGCAATTATAATTGGATCTCATTTAAATGAGATTTTTCCTATACATACAAATGTTCAGTTAATCATAGCCTTCAACCACCACAATATTCCATTACTAATCATGAGGCAAAAAAGGAGCCTCATACTCTTCTTCTTCACCATCTATATAATGTCTGTACAAATCTCAGGCAGATATAACTGGGAATACCTCTGTGGGTCTTCAAATCTTTCTTTTTAAACATTTAACTCAATACACTCTCAAAGTTTAGCTTTGATTTGTATAAGTTTTCTTATCTTCACTGTCTTTTAGCAACTTTGTAGACTAACCTGAAATGTACATGTGCCAACGACCACGTAATTATTGCCACCATATGCAATTAGGTTTCCTGAATCCCCACTCTCAAAGGGATTAAATTCTACCACATGCACATAATCTTCACAATCCACAGCGTACGCAGCATTTCTTGCGGCATCTTGCTTCATCTTGAATGTCAAAACTTGAGTAGTTGTAAAAATAAAATAGCCTTCTACTGGACAAGGTCAGGAAACTGCAGATTACAGGATAAATACAATTAGAAAAAGCCAAAGTGTCGGTCATTCAGCAAATGAGTCAAAATAAGGTTCCAATGCCACAGACAACTCAAAAGAAATATTTAAAATACTTATCAAGGGTCAGAAACTGCAGGAAAACAATTCAATCTAATTATTAAATTATTAATGTTTTAACACTTCCTCCACAGTTTTCCTCTGTTCCACATTTGTGACACTGTACCCACAGAATATAACACCATAAAATTCTGTTTAAATTATCTAAAGGAAAAGTGAGTACTTGAAAATGGAGTAACTTTTAACAGTAAACATATCCATAAAAATTAACATTTATGGAACACTACTTGTAGATACCAGGTTAAGCCATTTTACTGACATTAGCATATCTTGTATTTGCACAAATTTAAAGGCATGTACTACTTATGGCCCCCAATTTACAAATGGGGAAATTGAGGCTTCGGAGGTTAACTAACTTGCCAAGCTCCGAAGCAGTCAGGATTTGAAACTCCTATGTGTTGGGCACCAGGGCGTAAAAACACAGCCTCTTGCCTTGAAGGAGATCACAATCTAGGGATGGTTATGATATAGCGTGAAAAGAGCTATAATATAAACAGATACAGAATATAGGATCTGATGGAAGGAGTGCCAAATGTGGTATGTGATATAAATACTCATAAAGCCAGGTACAAAACCTCAACTAACCTGTTAGAGCCTAGTGTGCATTCTGAAAGTAGCATTCCTACATGAGAATTGTGGATTTTAAGAGTTTTTCTTTTTTATCAGACGCAAGATATTTGTACTGAAAACAGTTGTGCTCAGCAACAAACACATCAAAATACCTGATGAGAATATACTGAAAATCAGATGAGTCCCACCTCGGGGAACTTATAAACTAGTAACCTTAAGAATGGGCATCATCTGGGACTGGATACTTGTTAAGGGTGACCAGCAGGTGAGATACCCACGAAAGCAGAACGGTATGGAAAGTGCACGAGACTCGAGGTGAGGAAACTCGGTCCCAGTCTCTCATCTACTACTCATTAAAGCAGTGCCCGGTGTCATTACTTTGTCAAGGCCTCACCTATACACGGAAGGCAGGACTTGACCCTCTAAAAGTGTAAGGGCAGAAAGGAGAAACGAACAAGAGAAATCCCCACAATGAGCCTAGACGCCTCGCCCCAAGCCAGGCAAGTCCCGCGAGATCCCGCTCTTAACCTCCCCGAGCCCGAGGTCGGAGGAAAGAAGGAAGAACTCCCGCGGATAGGTTGGGAGCGCGGAGCGGCAGACAGCAAAGCCGTGCGGCCCCTTAGACTGCTCGCGCAATACGCACCGGAGAGTGCCGGAAAGCGACCAAAGTGAAATTGTTCTCAGCTGAGGGTGACACGGCGCGCGCCGGCTCTACTTCCGGGTCGGAGGGTGAGCGCGACGATTGGCTCCCGTGCCCTCCCGCGAGATTTAAAATGGAACTCACGTCTATTCAAGCAGCCACGCGGCGGCAGCCCTGTGGGGCTTTTCCTCAGGCTAAATTACGCCTCCCCGGAGTCAGGTGAGTCTTACCCATGCCCGGCTTGCCTGTCGCACTTTAAGTGGCTATTCTAGCCGCGGCTTGAAAGGGCGTTTCGGTGACAACAAAGTGCCATGAGACCGTAGCTTCGCGCCGGAACCTGATTGGGTCTGGCGGCGTTGGACGGAGTTTACAGTGTCCAGTGATGGAGCTGGGAGGTCCTGAGGGATCGTCTTCAGATGGGAAGACTGAGGCCCACCGAGGCCTCCCTAAAATCCATTAGTTAGGAAGGAAACCAGGGATCTTGTCCCACTATGTACGCAGACTCCGATTCCTTAACTTTCCCTCTTCTTGCTGTTATTATATCCTCCCAAGGAACCTTTAGGACCTGCATTCTGACAATGATAACGTCTGCCATTTTTTTATTGAGCACCTACTAAGTGTCCGGCACTAGGTGGGTTTTGTAGTTGTTTCATTAACATCTCATAATTCTAAGAGGTAGGAATTATCTTTCCATTTCTACAGATGAAGAAACTTACGCTCACTAGAGATTTTAATTACCGAGGACGCAGAGCTAATAAATGAGAAGGCCTGGATGTGAACCCTGCTCTGTCTGACTCGAAACTAGTTCTTTCAACCGTCTCACACTGCCTCCCTAGTGACAATTTCCTGTCTCACAATTTTTGCGTTAGTGCAGCTTGGAATCCAGTTTTTTAAAACAAGTGTTTATTATCGCTGCTGCCTTCTGCTACTGTTTTTTGTATAGTGCAGCCTGAAATTCAGAGTGGTTGCATATTCATTGTCTTATTGACTCCTCACAACTGGCTCAAAGGTAAGTAGAGAGGGTGGACATTATTCCGGTATTCGAGTGATGATTTCTTTACCTGGGCAGCCAGGTTTAAAGCTTATCCCCTAGGCTCATGCAACCAGCTAGCTACTGGAAGAGCTTGGTAGAGACCAGGAGCTGGCAAACCAGCTGCATTGCTTGTTTTTGTGCAGCCAGCTTCTGAGCTAAGAATGGACTTTATATGCTTAAATGGGAAAAAATGAAAAGAATATTTTGTGATATGTGAAAATTATATGAAATACAAATTTCAGTGTCCATAAAGTTTTATTGAAGCACAGCTATGTTCATTTTTTATGTATTGTTTCTGGCTATTTTCACACCACAAGGTCGAGTTGAGTAGTTGTGACGGAGATTGTATAGCCTGCATGCCTCAAATATTTATTATTTGTACCTTTCCAAAAAGTTTGCTGACCCCTGGATGAGACTGTTGATTTTCTGTCGCCAATAGTAATATTCTTTAAAATTTTAACTGAATACAATTTAGAAACTCATAATGCATGATAATAGCTAATGTGCTTTTATATGTGCCATGCACTGTGCTAAAAGCTTTACTTGTATTTGTGTTGTTTACTCTTCACAAAACCCTATGAGACAGGAACTAATATTTTCATTTTCAGTATGAGGAAGTTATGCCCGGCTTAGAGAGGCAGGGAGAGGTGATGTAATTTTGCCAAGATCTCACAACTAGTAAGTGGTGAAGCCAGAATTTAGAATAGTCTAATTTCAGTTGAGTCTGCATTCATAGCGATCTAAACTCATAATACCTTTAAATAATACTAGTAAGTAATTTGCTGCTAAAAATTTATATCAGGCAAATTGAAATCGACCCCTTAGTTCTTCACTTTCTTCTTTCTTTTAAGAAATGAGGGTGATATTTTGAGTATAACTCTTAGCTATTTGCAAAGATTTGTGTTTATGTAGCTATTTTAATCTATAGTCTTTTGCCTGTATCTTTAAATTGCATCATCGATTACATCTATAATTTAAATTATTATTTTGTAAATGGTAAATGCCCTTTTTCTTGGTCATAGAAGCCTGAGATGTCTAGTAAATGTCTGTGATTCTGTTTATGCTACATAAAAGTAGAAGAAAAGGATGACAAGAGTCAGTAAATGGGATGTGTACAGAAAAATACTCAAAATAAGATGTTGGGGATGTGAATATGTTGGATACTTAAATACTCTGGTACTTAAAAAAAAAGTAGGAAAAAAATTTGTAGCAGGCATGTCTGTAAAATCAGAGAAAGGAATTGTCTGCTTTATATAGGCTTGGGTATGTAAAGCATAGGCACTACATCAAATTAATCTGAAAGGCTTCCCTCTGCGTCAGGAGAAGTTATATAATACAGTGAATTAAGAGTAATCTTGGGTTTATGTCTAATTGGCCATTTATTAGCTGAGTGACATGGGACATTACTTTCTTCAGGTATAAAATGCTAATAATAATAACCTTGTAGGATCCTTTGAAAATTCAATGAGGTAATCAATATTAAACTCTTGGAAAGTATCTGGCAGAAGTACCAAGTAAGCTTCTAATTATTAGCTATTGTATTGGTTATCTATTTGGGCTGGACTCAGCTAGGTAATTCTTCTGCTGGTTTTGCCTGTGATCACTTGTGGCTGCAATTCTTCTGGCAGGTTGACTGAGGTTAGATAGTCTAAGGTAGCCTCATTCACATCTATGAATCGGTTTTGGTAGTTACCTGGAGTGCCTTGGTTCTCCTTCACATGGCCTCTCCAACAGACTAGTGTAGACTTCCTCATACAGTAGTTTCAGAGCATCAAGAGACTGAGCTGAAGTTAGAAGGCCTTATATTGGAGGCCCTCAAGACCATCCCCAGACTGGATGATGTGCTAGGAGGATTCAGAGGACTCAGCATATAGTCCTCATGGCTATGATTTATTGTAGCAAGAGGAATACAAGCAAAATTAAAGGGAAAAGGCATATGGGTGAAGTACAGGGGAGACCAGGTGTAAGCTTACAAAGGTCCTCTCCTAGTGGAGTCACACAGGACATGCTTAATTCCTGCAGCAACAGGTTATGACAACACATGTAAAATGTTGTCTATCAGGGAAGCTTGTTAGAGATTCAGTGCCCAGGATTTTTATTAGGGGCTGAACACATAGGTATTCTCTGTTATGTACCAAAATTACAGACCCAGAAGGAAAGCAAGTAATCAGTATAATCTACATGGTTTGTACAGTTTAGCACAGTGAGCTACTCTTATTGGAAAACCTCCTGAAATCTGCTTCAAAGGATAGCAGTCAGGTCTGCTGTATTAACTGTGCACAGGCTCTTAAGGCCTAGGCTCAGATTTATCAAGTCATTCTTGCCACATACTGTTGGTCAAATCAAGCCATAAGGCTGGTCCAGATTCAAATGGGTGGAAAAATAGAACACTTCTTTTGGGACAATATAGGGATGAGAGGAAATTAGTTTTTGTTTTTCTCAATCTACCACAAATATTACCACCTCTCAAATATATTTAAAATACACCTTTAATTAGCTATATCTGTTCTTGTAATGATAAGTTTGCAGAAATTACATGTCTGTTTTGTCTGATTTTTCTGAATTTTGAAGGTTGGATTTTGTTGTTTCAAGAGATTTGGCTTAAGAAAACCAAAGGAGAGGAAAATATGATTAGGCACCAATTGTGTTATTCTGTTTTCCTAAATTTAATTAAAAGCAATCTTGGTAAATATTAAATGACTCCTCACTTACTACTTATTTTTCTCTTTGCTTGCTTACATGTGTTTAATGTTAATTTCCAATTAAAATAAGTCACTTCAACATTCTGTTCTGTCTAACTTTAAGAAAATGGCTGTGCTTAATCAGAAGTCTGTCTTGGATATGATTAAAGAATTTAGAAGGAATTGGCACACTCTTTGTAACTCTGAGCGAACTACCCTATGTGGTGCAGACTCCATGCTCTTGGCATTGCAGATTTCCATGGCAGAGAACAACAAACAGGTTAGTAAACTACATTTACATTAACTTTTCTTTAAAATAGAATTTTGCTTGCTGCGCATTTGAATAAACTTAAGCTAAAATACATTAATTTCTTTGCAATATATGCCCTCCTGTGATAATACATTATTTCCACAAATGCCTCTGCATATGTGTCACAATATTGCAATTGGATTTGAAATGATCTGTTTCAAAATTAAGGACTTCATATGTATAATTGAACACGGACATGCATGATTGATGTTTTATGGTCTTAAGGTTAACATGCAAGTATTACGATTATTATGGTTACAATTATTTTTATTTAATAAGACTTCCTTTGTTCCCTAAAAGAAGTTCTAGAAGGCACACATAAGTAATGCTTATTCAAATATAATTATAAAGTATTTTATGTCTAGTTTCATACCCTATGGTATGGATTAATTATTCCTAAGTCAAGCAGTACGTCAGAATCATTTGGGAGGACTTTTAAAAAATACTGCCTACTGTGCCCCTATCCTGGAAATTCTGATTCTTCTAATCTTCACTGAGATGACAGAAACTGCCCTACATAATCTCCCCAAAGTGATTCTTATGTAGGTAGCTTGGGCCAAACTAGTGTTTGGAATGAGCCCTAACTAAAGGACTGGAAGTGTTCAGGTGAGAGGAGGATGAATGTAGGCTAGAGTGGTAAGGAAAACCTTCTTAATTTTAGAAAGATTTTAGGTAAAGGAAAGGGAGGATTTAGAGGAGGGATGAAAAAAGGAAAAGGTCAATTCAGAAAAAGGGTCAAAGGGGATCAACATTATGGTATGAAGTTAATAAAGATACTGACTAGAGAAGAAGATTTTTGAAGGTGATTGGTTTCAATGGGTGGTTTCAATAGTGAAATGACATTCTGATAAATTATTTTAATCTTATATGTTAGTAGTTTCCAGAGTTTTAGATTTCACAGATGAGTAAAATTTCCAAAAAATATTAGACACTGACAGATTTGACCATTTCTCATTTTGGCAAATAAGGCCGTTGAGAAAAAATAGTTACTACACATTATCATCACTTTGAAAAAGGAAGACTGTTTTAACAC